ATAACATCTCAGACATTGGAGCACAGCACTTAGCTGAAGCCATCAACAACAACAGCTGTCAGCTACGCACGTTAAACCTCACAGCAAATAACATCTCAGACATTGGAACACAGCACTTGTCTGACGCCATCGACAACAACAACTGTCAGCTACACACGTTAAACCTCACAAACAATAACATCTCAGACATTGGAGCACAGCACCTAGCTGAAGCCATCAACAACAACAACTGTCAGCTACGCACGTTACACCTCTCAGTAAATAACATCTCAGACATTGGAGCACAGTACTTAGCTGAAGCCATCAACAACAACAACAGTCAGCTACGCACGTTAGACCTCTCAGCAAATAACATCTCAGACATTGGAGCACAGCACTTAGCTGAAGCCATCAACAACAACAACTGTCAGCTACGCACGTTAGACCTCTCAAGCAATCAACTCATAAAAAATGCAGGTAAGCAAAAGGCACGTAATTTACCTAGCAAAAGTCGGTGTAAGCTAATTATTTAGGCCTCAGCAATTCCAATTAAAAACGAAAAAGAAATTATTTGAACCACTTAGTATTCAAAATAACTGCGAGGTGACCAGCTCAGTGACAAAAACGTGCATGAAGGAAGTGTTCAGAGCAGCGAGATTATTTGAACCGGATCGAAATGAAGAAAAACGAACCAATGAACATGCAGAGAAAACAAAACAAAAAAAAAACCTCGGACCTCTCAACTTTGTCATTTTATGATTGGCTACTTTCGATCCCAAATTATCTCCATGCTTGTGTCTGTTTTGATCCCGTGTGTCTTTCTCTAGGAATAGTTTTCTGTAGTGTTTATTGAAATTCTTTTGGAGATTATAATCGCATCAGATGAGTAAATGTAGTACAGATTGTAGGATACAACACGTTTGTTTTAATGCTCGATTTTTCTTCTGATCGAAGCGATCCGATTCAAGTAGTTTCAAATTTACTGCCATTGAAATCCTACCGAAACTATACGTAAACTCGTGGCGCTTCGAAGAAAAGTTCTTTTGGTAGGTTAGTGATGTGAGATTTTTGTCATCCTAGTTTGAAAATTTTTTGGGAATTTTCTGCAGTTGATGTAAATATTAGTATATTTTTGTATATATTTAGGGCCTGTTTCTCGAATAATGTAATAATATGTCAATAAGTTGCTGTGCAAAGTCGGAGGATGAAGCATCAGACTTATAGACAGTTAAGATTTTTACTTACAAGTATTTGTAAATGGAGCCGGAACTCCCAAATTTATAAGTGTAGAATAAAAATTGTAAATGGATTTAAACTTTGTGTTGCGATCTATTTATCCTCTATGATTAGTCACCACTTGAAAGCAATGGGGAGGAAGTAAGGGGAGGGTGTAGCCTTCTGAAAATCACTTCTGAAAACTTAATTCACTGCCACATAATCATGACAACATAGTAAAAAAAGGTGGAGGTATGCAACACCCCTCTTAAAAGCCTTACCATATGTCAGTAAAAATTCCCTCCCAATAATAAGACAAAATTCTTCTTCACCTCTCAAACTGCTGCTAAAGTACCTAAAACAGCTTGAAATGTGAATGACATAAACTGAATGTCACACGTTTGCTTGACAAAGTTCCAGCCTGGCCATTTATTTAAACTTTTGGCCAAATAGGAGGAGACCTGTTCAGCTTTGCTATGTTCTTAAAATCAGTGAAACTTGGCAGCCAAATAAAATACTACTAATACAAAAGGAAACAAATCAAACATCAGAGATGAATTCCACATGTAAAACGAATGAAAAGAGAAGGCAAGGAAACCCCACATAGAATTCCAGCTGCAATTAAGCACTTGTTGCAGCTTAGAAAAAGCATAACATTTGAGACTTCTTTCCAATTTTTAATGCTTTTAATCTCAATTTTTTGACACAAACAACACATCTGTCCATTTCATTTTTCTGCTTCAGTTTCTGACATCAGTTTCCTGTGTACAAGAAACTGATGCCATGTAAAAAGTAAACATGGACAGCCATAAGTTTGCCTAGAGTTGAAATTTTAGTTTTGCCACAAATAAATTCAAAGTCTGAAACAATGAGTAACTGGAATTCCACAAACTAAGGTGTAAAGCTCTATTTTTATCTAATCGAGAGGAGTGAAAATGCAAACAGTATTGAAATGTTGGATAATCTCAAGGAAGTACCTTGCCCAAGGTCCTCGAAAAAATTACTCATGCATGAGTCACAGTTTTAAGCTGTATTGCAATCAATGTAATCTTACAAGGCAATAAATTTTGATTTCATTTCTGTCGTCATTGTGGCTTGGAAAATATACCTCTTGAGACTTCTTTCCATTTCTTTTAACACTTTTAATCTCAATTCCTTTGCAATTTTTTTATATAAAATTTCCACAATTTTGAAAGAAATCACAACTCTAGATATAAACCCATCTGAAAAACCAGGTTATTAGACCAAAGAAACACCTTTATTCAATAAACCTATCAATCGAATTGAAATAAAAGTTACAGAATAACTGTGTGACTGTGTCCTTAAAAATTTTGCCGAGCGAAAGGGCCGCAGGTATCGGGGACATTAACCTCTTTTGCACGTCATCCAAGAACAGCGGGGGAGTGGACCGGGGTATTTTTCACCGAAGTGGAGTGGGTCAAGAATTGCTAGTCCGGTAAGATGGCGGCTTTGGCCATGAAAAGAAGGTAAGAAGGTATTGCAATGAGCAGAGATTCCAACCCCATGTGATGGAAAATAGGGAGTAATTATTAGTGCCAAAGGCGCGAGCTTCTAGGGGGGTCAGGGGGCATGCCCCCCGGGAAATTTTGCAAATTTAGGTTCTCTCAAGTGCCATTTCCTGAATTTTGACATCATTCCGGCCTGAGATATAACATACCATAATGCTCTTCGCGAAGAAAGTAAGTATAATATGAGTGTTTCACAGTGACAGATCGCCAAAAATTCTAAAGATTAGCAATTTTCCCCTAGTTTTCAGAATTTTATGATAAATCGGGAGAATTTGGTAAAAATCGGGAGAGCGGGAGGCAAGATATCAAATCGGGAGACTCCCGATCAAATCGGGAGGGTTGGAATCTCTGAATGAGTGCCAACTGAAGTTGGCCAGGAGTAGGTCTTCAGTGGAAACAAGAAGGTGGAACAGAAAGTTAAATGTGTTCTTTAAACCCATTCTATGAAACAGTGTATTTTTTCAAATTTTGAAATATATTTTTAAACTGCATTCACTAACATTTAACCCTCTTCTACTAACATGTAGAATTTAATATTTTCTTATTTATGTTAACAGTAGACTATAAAGACACGACAAACATTTTGTACCATTTGAAAAGCATTGTATGCGGTGACGTGTGTTACTCGACAAATAAAGTTTAAACCATCTACATTAGCCTGTGTCTTCCACTCAACAAGAGCGGGGGATGTGAGCAGGGTTGTTAGCTTCAATTAGAGGAAAAACCTGACCTTGGGGTCCTTTGCAACTTTAGAAGTGAGCGCTTGTCAAATGCCCCGCTATGTCCCGGCCGGGGGGTGCGGGGGTTTACATTGACCGGTACATTACGTTGAAGATCCAATTCTTAGGGTAAACATCATCTTATTCTGGAAACTGGTGATTGAGCTCTGACTTGGATTCCTGAAGAAAACAATCGAAAGTGACTTAATAATTACTAACTGGCATGTAAAGAAATGAAAATCTCGTTGTATCCAAAACAACTCTATTACAGGGTCGTAACAAGGTATTTTTTTTCTTAACTGATCCTGTATTTTTGCCCCAAATTTTGATCCCTGATCACAAAAACGTTAAGAATTTTAATCCCTGATCACAAAAACATTGGGAATTTTGATCCCTGATCCCAAAAACGTTCACAATTTTGATCCCTGATTCCACAAAAACACTGCTGATCCCGATCCCAAGTGTTGTGATCCCAGATCCTGGGGCTGTGATCCCTGATCTCATATACCTTGTTACAAGCCTGCTATTAGCAAAAGACAAATAAGTACACAGATTTATTTTTCCAGACCGTTGGGCGCAGTTTCTTTATATTTGTCTTCCGGAGGCTCTCTCTATTTCGCTGTCATGAACCAAATAGGATTGTCTGTACTCTGCTAAACTTATTACAAGTCAGCCCCACCCCACCCAACCCCTCACCCCTTCCTAAATTTTGTAAGGCGTACCTCTTGCCTGTGTCCAATCAATCTTCTCTCCACAGCATTGGGTGTTCTAGCATCATGCTGTAGAATCAGCCTGTCCCTACTCCCTGGTGAGAGCACAATTCATCATTCCATGCCAGGGCACCTAAGATAAAGTACAACATTTGATTGGAAACTTTGTTTAATATGAAACTATGAATTCGGCAATGAAGTACGTTAAATCAATTAACAGCAGTAGAAAAAACTTGACAGATTTGGTCTTTTCCACTGCTTCACTTGGATTAATCTGATGGAAAAATTCGGGACCACAATGGTCATGATTTAACTATTTTACTCCAACATTTCATTAGTATACTTTACTTTCAGCTTTACCATTCCTATGATGTTAATAGTTCCAAGAATTTAGTATTGGATCAACTAGTAATCTGCAAACTGAAATATCTCTGCGTTCTCATCACTTGTCTGCTTTTGTAAAAATAAATTCTGGCTTGGTCACTCATGGGAGTTAAAAGGTTAAATCTCTACATTCTTACTTTACTGGTCACAATTTGTTCGCGACACTCCAAAGCATAATCATTTGCAAAGACTTAGAATATTCCTGCTGTACAGTGATATCCTCATTTGCCTCAATTGGTTTCAGCTGCATGTGAGAGATCTCTTTTGATCTATTACTCCACAAAAGAAAACTAGTACTCTGTTTCAAGCAATAAAAATGGTGCTGACTATAAATTTGGCCTGCTTACCAACTATAGCAGTATGTCCTTCAATAGTTAAGACACTCTCTTTTGTGCACCTGCATCCCAGATTTGAACAAGTCACCCTTGTGAGTCCCAACAGCAACCAGACCACTCTGCAAATAAACAAACAAAATCACCACTCAGTCATGTATAATTCTTAATTTTTGGTTGAATAAATCTGGCATCAAGGATTCTTCATTCCATTTTCCTTGATTTTCCTTTTAGCATTGATAGTTACTATGCACAAAGAAAAAAAATCAAAGGATCAAAGTTGACTTAACACTTTACCCTTTCTGACCAAGACACAGATGTCACAGAGTCCCCATCAGATGCAAGATCACAGAGTTTGGTAACCTGTGGAGAAATCATAGATATCATGATTTTGGTTTGCAATATATTATTTTGTCTCATGCAGTCATTCTAATTGGTACAAGTGACATGTTTTAACATTTAACCTTGGCGCGATATTGCAGCCATGCTGATCTGCTTTCCTGGTGATTTTTTCCAACTGAATGGAGCATGTAAAATATAAAACAAAAGAATATTTTTTTAACAAGCAGCTCACCGAAAGAAAAAAGGAATAAAGAAAACACTAAATGCATGTACATTGTATATAATTTATACACTAAAAGATATATTGGCTTTCAAAGTATGAAAGAAAAGGCATTTTATGACTGGGCTACCACAGGTATCCCAGTAATAAAAATCCATCACAGTTCATTGCCAAGAATGTGACTTTTTTTTTTGTCTCTTGTAAGTTTTGCTAAAAAATTGTAAAATAAATATTAAAAGTGGCACTGCTTTCACTGTCAGACATAGATTAAACCAATTACCTGCAGTTCTGGAGCATCTAAAACTTTAAATGGTATCTTAGAAATTTTTCTTGTAGACTACAAAAACAAAAGAATACAAACTTTCATTGTACATTCATATTGTGAATTGTTCCCAGCAAACTTTTCTTATTTAACCCTTTAAACGCCCTAACATCAGTATACATATTCTCCCTTCTGTTCTCTATGCATTTCTCAAGGCGCTGACGGGAGAATTTGTTAAACAGTCAAGGGCTTCTTTAGTTGTTGATAATTGGTGATCATTTATCATTTCCCTTAATTACTCTCATTACCTTAGTGGATAGGAGGGGGGAATGGAATGAGAAGGGGCCTGGGGAAAAGGGGAGTGAAATAGTACTGAACCTTCTCATTGTAAATAATCGTGCTAGAGATACACATTTACCTAAATCATGTACCAATAATATTATAATATTAATGATCTATTACTGTGTATAAAGCGTTAGAGGGAATTTTCAAACCTGGAATATACTATGTATGTGATTACTGTTGCTGGAAAGTGCTCTTCTTTCCTCTTGTCGTACATCCTGAAATGATCAATTTAAAAAAAATAGTTGCCATGTGTTTTTAGAACAATCTGCAAAGTTCTAAGTAGCAAGAAAATTCACAGAAAATAGAGGCACTTCTAAAAATGATTTTATTATTTATTATCCTTCCCCAATTAATTTTCAAGGTCCACTAAAGAGGTGACACTATGTTCTGGGGATAATTTTTTCAAACCCATAGATACATGGTACTAAAGATACAAGTCAAATCTTCTTTTGTAAAGTGTACACACCCTTGCGGACTGAATTCCCAGTTTTCTGGGAATTCCTAGGAATTATCAAAAATTCCCAATTATGCAAATGACCCTTGCAAACTGAATTCCCAGTTTTCT